AAAGTCCAGGAAATGGCATTTCAGAGACTCTAAATTCAAAAATTTTCCTGGGGGGCATGCCCCCGGACCCCCCTAGACAAACCTCGCACCTGCGGCACAAGGCTCGTGCCTTCGGCCCTCGTTTATCAAGTGTAACATTATAGGGGCGCATAATGGTTGACAGCCCACTGGCCCCTCCAGAAAAATAGTACCCAGCACGCCACTGCGGCATTCTGATTATTGAAAATGGCGAGATATATTGAGAACGGTCTAACTTGCATCGGCAAAAAATGCCCTATTATATTTTACCGAGGCAAAACAGTTCAACTTCAAATACGAATAAGAGAATACGGCGTTGAAAAGCATTCATTTTAATGTAAATCAATAAAGTTCGATAGAAAGAATAAGAACATCATGTCAAGTACTCGTGTCAATAGCTGATTGGAAGAAGCTTCAATTCTTCAGCCGTTGCTCGTAGCTGGCTTCGCAAAAAGAAGGCAGGCCAAGGATGTATCTTGAAGCACGCCTCTGTACTCGTTCTAATCGGGAGATGAGCTCTACGGACTGTGGTGAACAAACCGACTTGAGACCTAACGAGAGTTAGGTAGAGGGTACGACGCGCTGATTGACTGGTGATATTTCTTGTGGATCGTTTTACAAATCCCAGCAATTTATTTGCCTTTGAACATTGTTCCAAGACTTGTTTTCGCCAGGTCAAGTTGTTGGAGATCCATACACCCAAATCACGTTCATGTTCTGAGATGGTTTGGTTTTCCAGACTGTATAGGGATGCTCGATTGCCTGGCGCCTTCTGGTAACACGGGGAGCTTTACACTTCGCAGTGTTTAATTGAAGACCTGAAAGACCAGCATTCGTGGAACTGGTTTCAAAGTTTGACAGGTCATCCTGCAACGCTGTAGCATCATCAAGGCAGTTTATTTCTTTAAATAACTTGGTGTCATCAGCATAAGTTGCGATAGAAGAACTCACGATACTGGAAAGTAGATCGTCCTCATATAACAAGAACAGTAGTGGACCAAGAATTGAGCCTTGAGTTACCTTGAGCCTGAAGTTACTGCTGTATGAGATGATGTTGCTCCAAGGATGGTCGTTTGTACGTTGTCTACGATCTTGTAAGTATGATTGGAACCATTTGAAGATGTTACCACTAAACCCGAAATCACGAAGACGAAGGAGAGAACGATTGTGGCTCACCTTATCGAAGGCTTTCGACATGTCCAGGTATAACACACCGATTTGTTTACCACGATCCAACAAGTTACCAATCGTGTCGAACACTTCGATTGACTGAGTGACGCAATTTCCTGGGATGAAGCCATGTTGACAAGAATTAATCTGGCTAAACACGCGATCTTTGATGCATTCGAACAAACAGCGTTCCAATACTTTAGATATTAAAGACAGCAGAGATATTGGTCTGTAATTTTCAACATTTCCTTATCTCCATTCATAAAAACAGGAACGACATTGGCCAGTTTCCAATCTCGCGGTAATACTCCAGTGCGCATTGACTTGTTGAACAGATCACAAAGCGATGGTGCTATCAGGTACGCTGTTTCTGTAAGTAGACGAGCGGGGATACCATCCGGTCCGTGTGCTTTATCGTTGTCAAGAGTTCTTAAGACTGCAGCAACATGGTCTGGTGTTAACGTGATGTCTTCCAACAAGGCGGTGTTTGTAGAATGGTCACGATCTGCGTCGATCGTACGCATATCTTTTTCCGTGCTAGGTTGATCTCTGATGAAGATTGAAGTGAAGTAGGTATTGAAGATAGATGCGATGGCTTCAGGCGCTTCTGCAGATGTTCTTGCACCTTCACTTTCAGCCATCGGCACTTTCTCAGGAACGTTGCGAACCTTGTATTTCAATTTGAATGTCGACCAAAAGCGCTTCGGATTATTGTTGCGGTCTGCACAAACACAGTTTATATACATTGAGCGACTATCACGCAACATTTTCTTCATGGTTGCTCCAAGTTCCTTGATTTTTGCTTCAAGATGTTCTTTTGATATTTTAGATTTTATCACCTTACATCGTAGAGAACTTTTCTTTTTGATATTGTGTAGTATGGCGCTGTTCATCCACGGCACATAATTCCGGCCACGTATCTTTGTAGATGGGATGTGGTGTGACACCGTATCGGCAAAAGTATTCCTCCAATTTCTCCAATCGTCGTCGATGTTACTGTCAGCAGAGATAGTTGCAGAAAGGTTTGAAGATTCTAGAGCTGATCGTAGAGGACTTTGTTGTAAAATTCGTTTTCTTTGAATCATATTAAAAGCACAATAATAAAATCTAGGGTGGTTAGCAAAACGGTATACCCATTTACCATCAATAATTTCAGCAAGTAAAGTCTCCGCGGCGATAGTCGTATACAGTTCTCTGTATCTTGGGTGCACGTTTGGGATGGAATAAGAGTTAGAAGTTGATGAGGTTGTGGTCGGTGAAGATTTCTGCTTCTGCAGGAGACCAGACATGACATACTTTAACCAAGTCGTGGTTGTGCATGATTGTGCATGCATGATCATGTTGGCGTGTAAACTTTATATGAGTCCTTTTCCTGGAATGCTTTGTTTAATATTTACGTTTAACTTCTCGTGGTTTTGCTCCTAGTAATTGACATCGACCCTACCAGAAACGAAAGTCTAGTAACTTCCATATTTCACGAAACAAAAGATCAGCTTAATTTTATGTTTTGATTTCAAGGTTATCTTGTATCCACGGCTACAAATTCCCTATCACGTGCCATAGCTGCCGGTCCAATCCTCATCCTACCTCTACTGATATTTGGTGGCTTCTATGTCTCTAACAAGTGAGTCCTTACTCCTAATCAGATTGATCACACTGATTTTATGTGACACTATTAAACCTGGAAACAAATCTACGTTTCGCCCGCCCTAAAATTCGCGGGTCGACGGAAAGGATACGTTCCGCCCTAGGCCTTTCCGCCGAGTTTCCGTCGACCCGCCAATCTCGTTCCCCGACCCTGCGATCCTCGGGAAGGGACGTGAGGCTCTGGGGTAATCCGTTTCAGGGAGGAATCTGATTGGCCGTTGATATGGACTGCGCAGTTCGGCCTTAGCCAGGATTCCTGGCTTCCGGCAACGGATTATCCTGGAGCCTCACGTTCCTTCCCGAGGATCGCAGGCTTGGGGAACGTGATTGTCGACCAGCGAATTTTAGGGCGGGCGAAACGTAGGTCTGTTTTCAGGTTAATGTGATACCAAATTAAATTAATTACAAATGTTTATGCTGTAATATATTTCATTCAGAGATCCATATCGTCTTGAAATTCAAACTTGATCGAAGTCGACCTCTAAGTTTAATCGGGCGAGTCGGCTCGAACCCAGTTTGTGGAATATTGTAATAACGTATTTTGTGATACATTCTTCCAATATTTTCTTTATTTTTCCTAGCATTTACCCGAATTTCCATCTTTTTTTGGGGGCGGGGCCGTTAACTATTGCGTTACCTACTCAATTATCCAAAACATCATGCACTCTATTTAGCCTTTCCATTATACATATCCTAATAATTCAGTTTCGGTAGTGTACTCGAAGACAGTAATCAATACTACACGAATATTTATATATCAGTACTTTTGTACATGACATACATGTTACCAAAACAAAATAATTATTGTGATTCATTTAGTATTTTTTACTGTACTGATGTTATATAGTACAATTCCCGACAGTCTCAAATGGTTGCGATATATATCCTGGTTCAACTTTGGTTTTGAAAATTTTATGATAAATCAGTGGCGAAATGTCGATAAAATTACAGGTAATCAGAACAAAAAGTATTTTTAAGTGAGATGTTAAGTAGCTGGGAACTATCCACGTGACCTGAACAAGGATCATGCATCCAACTCACAGACTTTCTCTCGCGCGCTTCGTCGAGAGTAACGGCTATACACAGGCTAGATGTTAAGCAATATTTTCTTATTTTTTTACAATTTTGTTTTATATCAAGACTCAAGTTCTTATTTTTTGTTTCAAGGTTGTGGGAAAACAACATCAAAACATTGTTTACAAAATGGTCGACAAGTTTTAAATTTTTATCAACTTGATGAGGTAATATTTGCTTCGTAATGTGCATGAAATTAGAACTAGGAGGCAAAGCTACTCACCATTGTTTTACAAAACAAATTGAGTTCAGCGTCAGCTGCATGATTGCGTGGTTGTTTTCGAGTGCTTTGACATTCTGCGCGTGGTCGTTCATTTGAATCGTTAGACAGATTTAGATCGAGGACGCGAACGTCAAAGACGACGTGAAAATGGCGTGTTGTGCCCATGTATGGATATGCCACGCCATTTTGACGCCATTTTCACGTCGTCTTTAACGTCCGCGTCCTCTAAATCTGTCTATTTCCAAATAAAGTACGCGCCTGGCATATCGTGGCATATAACAACGCGTACGGTCCTCCCAAGCACCCTAGGCTCGATTACCAGCCGGCATTCGGGTGATTTGGGTAATCGAGCCTACAAGCATCCCCGTTCAAATCAGCCACTGATCTATATATAACACCAATCGCGATTTCTTCTTGCGCGTTCCTCTGCCTGGGTACGAGGCTGCATTAATGTTGTTCTTTACGCTCTTTGTATATCAGCTTCCCGCTGAAAACGGTGGACTGAATTTGATGTAAATCCCAAGCCGGTAGCTCATTCCCAGTCAATTTGGCGTTTGGTGGTCAGTGCATGATGAACCGCTATAATTCTCTCACTTCAATGCATATCTTTGATTGTCGAACAGCGTTTATTTTCTTTAATTCTGCACGCTAGACCCAGTTTCTCCAAAACAGCTGACAGGGCATTCAACACATGCACGTTATTCTGTAGACTACTCCTAATCAAGAATTCTTTGGTGTTGGATCTTTCACCGTAGTTAATACGTCCCGTATAAAGATGCCGCGATATGGCTTGATAATTCTTGGTATCATGCTCAATCTCATAATGAAAAAAATAAATGCGATTCTCAATATGTTAATTAAGGAAAATTTGAATATCATACAAGTCAAGATATCTCGAGAACTAGCATGGAACAGTTCAAAGGGTTCTTTCAACTAATTAGGAAATTTTCGCTTCATACGTGTACTTTAAATTCGTTGTCATATAATTGCATGCTGAGTGTGGACTATAGTGATCAGCTGTACACGTTCCGCCACAATTTCCCCTTGCTTTCCATACATTATTTCATATTATCCTAAATTTGCTCTTTTCTCTATTGTAGGATAATTTCAAGCGCAATTTTTGGCTTCTAGCAGCTCTTTGTATGACCTACAGATTAATGGCTTATATATTCCTGTTAAGAAAAGCCAGTAGAGTGCGTTGAGCTACACATGCGGATGCATACGTTTACTGACTGAATGGATCCAGAAACATCGGCTACACTCCAAATTGGTGGGCAGAGATATGTGAATGGAAAAAATCCAAGATGGGCGAGAAAGTTAAAGAAGATATATTATATAACGGCCGTAAAGTAAAAACAAATGTTACAGCCCAGCAAGTCACTAAATGACTTTCAGACAAGACTAAATAATAAAATAATAAATTATACAGTATATGACTAGCATGTCTTGTTTGAAAGTCAGGTGGCTGGGCTTTAATATTAGTTTTAAGTTACATTTTCTGTCTTGAGTTGATTAACGCTGGCGTTCAGAAGCACCACCAGTAATATTGTTGAGTCATTGTAGCAGTTGGGTGAAGTATGTATATTTGCGTTCCAATTGAATTTGCATGTACGTAATCACGGGAAACAAAAATAGTGAGAACTGAGAAACGAACTATGTCTCTCACGCGACACGCGCCTACAAGTTCAGACCATTACTCCACGCGCGCGCTCATTCGTTCTTTGAGCAAACTTGATCGGAGCCGTAATTTATACACGTATTGCTTTCTTTTCAATTTTGACTGTTTCAAAGAAATTAAATTAAGGCAATGCCCATGTGCATATGTATAAATAATAATATAATAAAGTGCTCCAATAGTTCCGCAAATGGTTTTCATTTGGTCGTGACCTGCACTTTGTGATATATATAGTCGGGGTCAAAATAATGTCTTCTGTGTGTTGTACTGTAAAAATGGGCATAAAAGAACTACTATTTTTATGTCAGGCAGAAGTGGTTCTTATATAATGGTTCTTCATAGTAGTCTTATATAATGGTTCTTCATAGTAGTCATAGTGGTTCTTATATAATGGTTCTTCAGGTGTTGACACTCCATTACATCGTCCACGGTCCACCTTGATATGATCACCACTGTTACGACGAAATGGTCAGGGCATTTTTTAACTATATAACTGGGGGGCCAACGCCCCCCCCCCCAGCCCCCATGGTGGCCCCCCCACTCAACCATTTTGCCCCCCCCCCCAGTCGAAGTCCCTTTTCTCTAAAATATAAGCAAAACATGGAATTTAGAAGGGAGGATTGATATTCTAGTAACTGAAATTTGCTTTGTGAATCTTATCCCAGGCAGTGGATTGCATTTCCCAGACCCTATAGAGTTTGAGTTGTTGGACAAGTTAGTGACCGCAGGGGGCAACAGGCCCTCAACCAAGTGTTTTATAAGGGGGGGGGGGAATAATTTTGGCCCCCCACCAAAAAAAAACAATTTGATTTCGAAACTAGAAGTATTTGAAATCATATAAACATATAATCAAATATCTGTAATCGATATTTTGATAACATTTCTCGTAATAATCCATCATGACTCGCGGATATCATAGACTCGAAAATCATAATGAACGAATTAATGAAAGGGCCTAACAAAAGACGTATACAAGACTTTGAAAATGCCATTTCCGACGATTTAGAGACGCAAAATTTTCAAATTTTTTTCGCTCTGTGCCAACCATGGTGGCGCTTCGTGGGAGTCGGGAACTCTAAGTTTATCAAGCTGGCTCCCTAAGTGACGGCCAAGTTGTGGTATCTACATAAACATACTATGAAGTACTTAACTGAAGGTTCAGTCTATCTACAGCATAATGTAATGCTGTATATCCAAAAATCTGTTTCAGAAAAATAGAAAATGCAGGGAATTGCAGTCATAGGGGTAGAAAAATACAAAAATTTTCTGGGAGAGAAAACCCCAGACCCTCTCCAGGGCATATTATCCAATATATCGTTAATTAAATACACCTTCGCCCATTTAGTACTACTGAATTCTAAATTTCCACATACTAAAAACGCTGTTTTCTGACAATCAGAGATCTGTCAAATCTTCTCCAAAGTCCAGGAAATGGCATTTCAGAGACTCTAAATTTAAAAATTTCCTCGGGCCTTCGGCCCTCGCTTTCAGCCCCCCTCCCAAACGAAAAGAGCTTCTACGGCCCTGCTCTCCCCCCCCCCCACTATTAAATGCGATACCTCACCAAACTTTTTGTTACCAACAAACCATCTATCATTGCTCCACACTCGGTATAGTATGGTCCCTTTTTGTAGATGGCCCCCCCCCCCCACTGATGAATTCTTAAAAAATGCCCTGGAAATGGTAATCATCAAACTGATCAAAGACTCTTGTACATAAAGCTTCACGTCATAGTGAGGCTAATTTGCATATCAAATATCTCCTGAAAGAAACTCATGAAAGGAAGAAATTATACATTTGGTCGTATAACGGTCGCAAATATTGAGTCACGATCTTTCGCGCCGAAATACAACATTTTAGAACTTAAAATACGCGGAGTGAGAGAATACTTATGATTTATATGTGGTTTACAGATATAAACTATTACATACTGGCCGTTGAGAAAGATCTTGACTCTATTTTTACAACCATTACACCGTCGCGATCATATGGAAACCAGGCTTAAGTCGAACCTATCCAATCTCAAAATGCTCTAATCAGTTGCGCTTATGCAACGAAATCGTTGTTGTGGGTGAGTTGTGGACTTGATTTACACAGTACAATTCAAGTTGTAGGTAGGTTGCATGCGATAGTCTAAAGGTCCATGCGGACCGGACGCGATTTGGCAACGCTACGCGAATTTTCAATGACATTTAACGTTTTTCAAATATTCGGATATATTAATATTTGGTCTGCATATCCTGTAAAATTTTTATCCGTTGACGGTTTTATTTGTTTTTAAAAACTGAAAATTCGCGTCGCGTTGTCGAATCGCGTTCGGTCTGTATGGACTTAAATCGGCCTTTATTTTGATTCGCTTTATGCAATTTGACGTCATAGTGAGGCTAATTTGCATATCAAATATCTCAAGAATTAAAGCCTCTCAACTACTCAGATGGTTTGGCAAAGTGTCTTTGTAGTATTTTTTTCTTTACAATACAATCGTGTGAAATTTCTTGCATAAGCACTTTAAAATAAACTTTCACTTCACAAAATAGTGCATGGTCATGACTAAGCCTATAAGGAAAAACGATTTGGACAAATGGGAGGATTCATTAGACAATAATTAAAAATACTTAAATTTGATTGCCTATTTCCGGCAATTATACTAATTAGAGCGTCAATATTTGTTGGATTGGAAAAATATTTCTATGTACATAGATTTAACCAAAGTTGTATCAGAGCAATTAAATGAAACAATACAGCCAAAATTATGACAAAGAATTTCATCATAGACAGGAAAGATTGATTTAAATTTGTTGCAGTTTGATTTCATTTCACAACATTTTTGACGCAAACATTTAATTGATGTTTTGTCTTAGCTTTAGATGTATGATTGTATGAACTATCGCGCGAGCCTATATATATATATTTTTTTAAATTTTATATTTTCGGTATGGCTGCGTAAAAAAATCAAAATGACACGTCATGTGCATGCATGTGAAAATGTATTTTGAGCTATTGCGTGTCGTACAATTATTATGATCTTGCCATAACAATGAAAAAGTACTGTACAAAAATACATTGTTTCTTATTCCTAATAGATAGGTAAAATAACAGCATAATTTATGGAGGAACTGGAATTTTTACTTTATAACGGGCTTTCTTTCTAAAATCACCCAGCAGGATGTCTGTCTAATGATATGTCTCCAACGTTGTAGAACTCTCTTCAATTGGTTCCCTTTGAGAGGTCAACAATAAAAATATGAATAAGCAATAAAAGGCTTTTATGAGTGGAGGCGTTTTTGTTTTCGCCCAAAGTGAATATGGTATGATCAGTATAAACATCGCACGAAAATAACGTGTACACTGAGAATCACAGCAGTTCGATTAAAGACTTGAAGTGTGGGTCTGTGTGGAATACACTTAGATTATAGTAAGTCCAACTTTACAAATCTGGTATAAACTTTACCAAGAAAGCAAGATTGCCTTAAGCTTTCTTGCCAGACTGGTACAGTGTAGTAGTGATTGCGAGGCGATCCATTTTGTTGCGTCGTATAAACACCCTTTCCTATGTATGATGATATTCAGCTCGAGTTGCATGCCAGCTGCACGCTGACAGCCAACACGGTGGTGCAGCACTGACTTGGGTATCGGCTATATGCTCAAAGTTTTAAGCTTTGTTTGCAAATTTTATCGAATATGCCAAAAATTTTACTCGGAATCCTTGCGTTAAAATGAGTGGAGGGGTGTTTGAACTTTGATACAATCTGCAGACCGATGCATGTTCTGGCGTTCTAATCTACGCCTCATCGGTGAAGCTTGGTATACGTCGATATACGCGATGCCATTGTATTTATACCGGGAACTTGCTCTCACTGAAACGTATGTGGTATATAACACGATGGCATCAACGCATCTAGACATGCGCAGAGTGTAAAAAAGACCAGCAATTAAGGAAGTGATACCTATTAACAACTCCACAGAGTACGCAACAACACCGAAGTGAAGGGGCGTAATGAATATATTTATCGCTTACTCAGAGTTTCATGATTATTCAGTCTTGTGATATTGTTCACCGGTAATCACGGGCGATATGATGAAATGCTCTCGAGTAAAATTTTAACTTTCAAATGTCCACCCTTGTACGCGTTTAGTTAAAATAGGTGATGTGCAACCACTGCCATGGGATTCAAAGGACCGAAAGAGATTTTCGCCATGTTGGATGATATTTACATTGCAAACAAGTAAAATCCTTTGTCAATGTCATGCAACATGACGACGGTGACGTAACTTGCACACCACCTACAGGGTGTATCAACTGAAACCTGCAAACACTATAATTTGCATAATTCTGCTGCTTATACTAGCATTTCAATGACTGTGCTACTTATTTTGCTCCTGGGATTTGAAAATACATTCTATAATTAACCGCGTTGATAGAAATTAGAATAACACAAAGTTATTTGTAATGTAGAAAACTAATTATCAGTTCGAGTAAAAAGTTATCAGTTGTTCTACTACAGGGTGAGTAAAAAAAAACTGACACTTTGTTATTCAAATTAGCCGCGAAGGTATCAGTTTTTTTACTCACCCTGTAATATGTACAGAATTACTCAACGAAGGTAAATATTAGTATATTACTCTCTGTGCATTCAATGACAATGTTGATTGAAAATTAAGCTCAGCATTGCCACTTTCCTTCTAACAATGCAGTTGCATGACGTCTTTGATTTAGACCTACTGGAGACTAAAAGAATGTTATAACCCATACGTTGAACCAGCAGAGCAGACTGACGGTGAAAAAATTCAAAATGTTCAGTCAAACAGTAATTAAGAAAGTTCCATAGAATTTGTGAAAGGTTTTAGAGGGAAACGACAAAACGCGGACCCCAGGTCCGTGGACTACCTTCGTGGACCTGGTCCGTGGACTACCTTCGTGGACCACTCTCGTGGACCACTCTCGTGGACCACTCTCATGGACCACTTGCGAGACACCAGATTTTTGGGGTTTGAATTCTTGACTGTGCATGCAGAAATGTGCTCGAGTCGAGTTCAGTCATTATTATCATTGTAGAAACTTTACACAAAATGTGAAGTTCTGAACATGACCGTTCTAAAATATAAGTGTGCAATTACGACTTTAATGCAAAGTTTCCGAATATATGCCCTTAAAATTGGTAGTTTTTTTTCTCGATCGCTACTGGAAATGCAAGAAAAGCAGTAATCGAGCTTCAAAAATTAATATTTTGGGGAGAGGACCTTCAGGCATTGAAAGGTCATTGCAACTTACGACTTCTACAGTTCAAGTGATTTTTTAACAGTAAAATTCGAATAATTCAGTAAAATCCTTTGACCCCCCCTCCCCTCCCCTCCAGATTCACCACAGTATTCCTATATTTTTTAATGGAACCCTGACTACATTTTTTCAGCATTTTTACAGACTTAGTATTCACTGTTCATCAACAAAAACTGAATTGATTGTGAAATACGTAATGGAAATGAATAATGAAATAGTTCCCGCCAATCTCAGCTCCCTAAACTCGGAATAATAGTGTTTGGTCTATTGTTTGGTAGGCGAAATTTTGCAAGTGGTCCACGAGAGTGGTCCGTGGTCCACGAGTGTAGTCCATGGACTAGGTCCACGAAGGTAGTCCATGGACCTGGGGTCCGCGTTTTGTCGTTTCCCGGTTTTAGAAAACACAACGCGACCCGCTCAAAAGCCTGATTTCCATGTGATATGGTCGTAAAGATTGAGTCACGATCTTTCTAATCAGTCGAAATACAACATTTTAGAACTGAAAATAGGTATAAACTATTATAAACTGGCCGTTGAGAAAGATCGTAACTCTATTATTGCAACCATTACGGCCATATGGAGACCGGCAAGGTAAAGATTCACCTTCGGCTACGAAACAAAGAAATTCTACATGGAAGGTAAAAATAATGCTAAAGCCGGTTACAGAATACAGACAAGTTTTTATGTGACAAGTTTTATTTGCCAAGTGCACGTGTGTATATGCAACAAATTTTATATGACAAGTTTTCATATGACAACTAAGTTTTGTTTACTGGTGTGAACGTGTCAACAAGTTTACTTAGGGGCGGACCATTTGATTTTTGAGGGGGAGGGGTGTTGGAAGATTTCGAAAAAAAATTTCCTGCAATCCAAGGAGAAAGAAAAAAAATCATGCAGCATACAATCGAGAAAAAGAACGCTCAAAAAAAAGAGAGAGCGCTCAAAAAAAAATTCCTACATGTAAATCTACTGACGTTCTTCACTTCAGTATTGTGTCCACAGACTTGCAAGATTTTGCATTTTTGAGCAGGCACATTTGCTTAAAAGAACACGGGGTGAACAGTGGACAACATCACAGGAATTCTACCGCCTTTGGAGCCTATAACATACGATAGCCAGTGGCGTTCCCTGGCAAAATTGTTGCCCCCCCCCCTGAGAAAATCTGGGCTTAAGATATGTACTAGAAAATACATGCATGCAGAAACCCTCGCCTTGCTGACAAAACCATTGTATTTTCCGAACATGAAGTATCTAAAGTAGTTGTCATGGTAACACGATAATTTTTTAAGAATATTCTTACAAATGAAAAATCGCTTAAAAATATCACTTTTAATTACAAAATTATTAATTTCCCAACATATATATGTTAGGTATGTTATTATACGTAATATAAGCTTCAATTTAAGGTAAAATTCAACCACAAACGCTTCGCAAAACGTTTTAAAGTCACTAGTGTTCTAGTCCCCGAGCCGACGGCGCGAAGCGCCGTGCGAGGGTACTAATTACCCCCGGCTATTTACACCCGGGGAAACGAAAGCATTAGTGGAGTCTAAAGTTCATCAAATATCGCGGGCGTGGGTCACCAACGGTGTTGGGTGGGTGGTCATCCCAGTGAACTCTAATAATAACTGGAAGGCTAACTCCTATGATCAAAGTCTATGATTCGCTGAAGCCGACGCGCGGGAAAATCAGCTTTCAAAAGGACTAAGGAGAGTTTCGAGGAGTGAAAAAAATTCTGTCAAAAGTTTGTTTTCGAGCAAAAATTTGCAAGAAAAACACTTTTCCTATGGGAATACAACAATGACTTGGGATTTAAACCAAGTTTCCGATTAGTTCCGACTGTTTTACATCTCTCTGCAGCAAAAAGTAAGGAATTTTGCTTTTGTATTTTGAAAAAATGACGAAAGTTTGGATGTGCCGAAGGAAATCTCGCCGTGCAACTCAAAAATATATACTATAAAACATTTTGACAGCCCCAAAACTTATGTTGTACTAAACCCCAGGTATTGTTGTTGATCCTGAGCTTTTAGTCCTTGTTTTAGTCGCTCTTAAACATAAATAAATTGGCGTTTTTCAAGTGATGTTATTTTCGTCATCGGCATCTTGTTGGCCACTATGAGCACTTTGAATATGGCAATATTTTTGTCAATTTTCAAATGCTTTTTTTTCGAACTTAAAACTTTCAATCTTCTTGAAACTTCGCATACAGATGTATTTTGCATGGGTTTAAATAATTCCTGAGGTATGACGTCTTAGTTTTATCTTAAACTTCCAAAAACTCAGAAAAAGCAGCCTAAAACGCGCGGTTTTTCTGACCGTTCATGCTTATGGCCGTGTTTTTTCGTATTTTTTGCTAATACGTGATTTGTTTGCTTTGCGAATATTAAATTCATTTATAATACTACTGATATAAATTAAATTTGGTAGTATAACTAATATTTTGGGGCAAGATTTTTATGATCGAAAAA